ATTTCGCATAGGTGGCTTCGGCCACGTCACTTTCGCTTAGAGCATGCCACGTGTCCGAAAATGGCTGAGTCATCCGAGCTGCTGAGTCATCCGAAGGGGTCCACTAGGAGTCCGACGCGTGTCCCATTCCTCGTGTCCGAGTCTCGCAGGAGGAGCCACGTCCGAAGCCTCGGACTAGACCGCGATCCAATGAGGAGGCGACAGCGAGCCCCTCGCACGCGCAACCCATGTGCGAGCCACCTGCGCACCCTCGCCTGATGACTCCTCCCTTTTAAGCCGACCTTCGGACCCTATAAATAATAGGGCATGCGAGTCTTCTCGGTTACTTTTGGAGTTTTGTCACTTTTAGCCCCTATAAATAACATTGGTGGCATTTTCAGTAATCTGTTTTATGAATATTTAAATTAAAATTGAAATTTTTGGTCTTGAATTTTGGAATGTTACAGTAGAAATAAGAGAAGAATAAGGGAAAGAGTGGGGAAGAAGAGAGAAGAAGAGAAAGAGAACTACATGATGGGAGAGGAGATGAATGAGAGAAATTCGAAAAGGAGCTACCGAGTTGGGGACGACACCTCGACATGTCGAGTAGGCAAGACAGTGTGCACCAAGCCAGGTCACCTCTGTCGAGCCCCTTGACAATGCCACCGTGGGCAACCTTTGGAAATATATAACATGAGTTGGTTCAATGAAGAACATTTTTAAACCATAGATTTGAAGGATCAATCTCAGGTGTTAAAGACAAAATGATCAAGAGCAAAAAACATGGGTTGTACATTTAGAGGTTGGATGCGCATGCACAGGATCATAAAAAATAACTCCCTTTTTTTTAATGATTATGATATATTTATTATCGAAAAAAATGAGTATACCAAAAATTTTAAGTTTTTATCCTCCTTCCATAAATATCAGTATTGATATATTAAAATATATTTTAGAAAAAAATCACTTCGTTTTGTTGTTTTTTTACTATTTGCTTTTATATTTGTAATTTTATACTATTTAAAGATGAGTGAGAATTTTGAAGAAAAGCAACATCTATTTAAAAGGTACTAAAATTTATAAATTTTAATATATTTGTTTTATTTTTTTCCAATAGAAAATAAACCTAAATGTAAAAGGAAACAACAAAACGATTGGTTTTTTTTTGGAA